ATATATTATATAACATGTTTAACTCACATTGAGTTACATTGCGCCCTACTTTATTATGTTACTCGGTCTAATGCCAGATTATTTTACTGCTCTGTCTAATGCTAGACAATTTTGCTCGTCAAGAGTAAACTAATTTAGAATAACAAACGTTTATTTAGGAATTAAAACTGTAGCTATACATGGTTTATCATGCAACGCCTTACAAACGATTCTCGATAGCACTGCCACTGGCAGCATCATCGACATTGGAATATTACCAGTTTCGCTGTTAATTTTTTCAAAGCCTTGTATATTTTGTCACTGGAATGCTAATACACAGGATTTATATTTTGCTTCAAATTTTGTTGAGTAGAAGTTTTTGATAGTTAATTTTCGTTCCAAAAATTCGAATTGGTTGACTTATTTTATTTTATTGACATAAACGCACGAGGTGGGGGGATGGCGGGGGCTGGCCCAGAAAACTGTGAAGTTGGGCAGATTATAGACGTAAGTTGGGCTAAAGGGCGGGTTAATAATTGTTAAAGCAAACAATATTTAAGATAATAGTCGAAAATACAAGAAATATGTAAACTTCATGCCCGTCGACAAGAATTTTGTGAATTTTATACGGAATTGTTTTTTTATGCAAAGTGCAAAAAATTATTTCTGCCTCCGCCCCGATTTTTTCCATCCCAAACACCTATGTTTTTTGATATTGCTTTTCTGCCGGTAACGGCAGTTTAATTTTCCAATTACTTTCGGGAGCACTTAAATAACTGAAAAAGCAAATGGTTTATGTTCGATCGCGAATGGGCGTATGCAGAGAATGCCGCCACGGTACGAAGAGAAACGTATAGTTTGGCCCTGAGACTCTTTAGCTCGGTTGTCAAATCAAACATTTATTTGCAGGTATCTTTTACAAAAAACTTTTTTCTACAAGTATATCTGAATAGCTACATAGACCACAAAGGATACTGTTCTACTATAACTGTGTTTCCTGATCAGTATATACTGTTGCTTTAGTCACCTTGCAAAATAAAAATACGTCATTATTTATATACACGAAGTGAAACATAGAGTATTTCATGGTGGCTCGATTCAGTTTTAAAAAAATTAAAAATCACGATTTAGATCCGTATTTTTGGACAATCATTACGCGACAACATAGTAAGAAAATTATGTTTAATATTTAGGTACTTGGACTCAATAAAAGGTTAACCTCGAGCATAGTTAATAGAGGAGAGGGTTTGGAAGCTGGGGGCGTGGCTAAATTATGTTATTGTTCTCTGTCACGTGACAATACGGGTGCATCAAAATCTATTTGTAATAGGAGTTTGTATTACAGAGGAGGCTGTAGTGCTTGAAAAACGTCTTTTACAGAAAGGATATCCAAATACCAGGTGCAAATTGCTCCATACATGGTTGCGGGACTAGTAGAAAACACTTTGGTCTCAGTATTTTTTGAAATCCAACAAAAGACGACGATTTATCGACGAAAATTCGCGAAGCGTTGGCGAGGCTTGTCACAAAGGACGCTGGATCGAGAGATAGATGCAAGTTTAAGAAATCAAATCGCTCAACAAACACTTCATGTTTGTGAAAGACACTTTGAAAAGACCCAGCCGAAACATGTAAGTTATTTTCTTTCTCTGGTAGAGGTATTGATATTTCGGTATGAACGCTTGAAAGTTACAACTTAGCAGAAGTACTGTATATATTTCATGTATCAAATTATCAAATTTGTATTAACCATATGGTCATAGAGCAGGAAAAATATATTTAAATATTAATGATTTGCATAAAAGTGTGTTTCGGTCATTAGGTCATATTTATATGGGCCTTATATAACAGTTAACCCCTGTGTTCATAAAATGAAGGTATAAAACATTTTCGTATACAGTAAACAAAGTATTATACAGTATTCAAAGGCTATTTTAATAGCAAGAAACTGGCATAATAAAGTAACAGGATTTTTGTTTGGCCATGTCATAGTATATGAAAGCCCCATTTACAGTTATTATAAATCTTGTTTGCTCTGAATTTTATTATAATTACTATCTTAACAATACTTGTATAAATTAAGTCAACTTACTGTATATATAATCAGATATTTTATGTTCTGCTTTAGTTCCCACCTGCAAAAGGCTTGTAGCTGGTGCTATTCCTACCTTTAATTTACCCCAGAAAAGCATACCTCTCTACATCGACAATTGGAGCCAGGTAACATTGCTGGTCGTCACACTGGTCAGAGGAGTAAATGGTATCGTGGATTAGAAAAGGCCTTGCCGTAACATAAAACAGAAGTAATCTAGTGAGAACTTTTGTGGTGTTTTTGTACCCAGAGCTGTCATTAAGGGCCTGTAGCTTGCCTACTTCTGTCTGAACAAATTTCATATAAACAAAACTGTGAAGCAATAAACAAACCTTTTACTTCCTCTAGTCAGAACATCAAAATTAAAACAAAAGATTAAATTATTTCAAACAGGTCAGGCTTTGATAGGATGTTTTGTAATCTTAAGAACTCTGTAAAATACCCTCCAAAATGCAGGGAATGTGTAAAATACCTTCCCAAATGCAGGGAATGGCATTTCCAACCCAGACCCCTCTAGGAGTCTTGTGCCTTCAATGTTCAATAATTTTTCGGCCACCTACTTGTAAACTTAATGACAGCACTGCTTCAAAAGAGTAATATGCAATAATTTGTACATATGCTATAAAATAATTATTAAAACAGATTATAAATGAATAGGTGAACAATAAGACTAGAACAATATATTACCTTAGTTGAATAATTTGTAAAAGTTTATACTAATATATACAGTAACTCACTATTACACAAAAGTTTGTTTCACTTCAAATAAACAAGACATTGGTGGGCTCAACTTTGAGTTATCATGGTTTGAGAGACAACAACGGCTAGAATCAGAGCACACTGATGTACCGGTAGTGAATAAGTACACTATTCACATAACTAACTTTAATACCCTTAGGTCAATATTGTACTATACAGAGGAAATATCAAAATTTGATATTTCCTCTGTATGATATTTCCTTTGATATCTCCTTTGTCTAATATATTATAAGACTTGGTCTTGGAAACTGTGGGATGCATGGGCATGAAATATCATGGAATCTTGGAATAACATTCTATTTTGATGTGACAGAATGATCAAAAGTAACAAATCACATGTTAGTAGACATTGAATCACTGTATATTGGTCAATGGCTGGACTTATAATTGACAATTGGACACAAGCCTTAGGGCCTACTATTTTAAGACATTCATATCTAGGTTACAGTATATTGTCTATATATATACAGTATTAAGATATTTACTGGTATTAAAGCATGCAGTTTCTTCAGTGTTTATAATAAGAATATCTGCTGGTAATAGCAAAGTCAACCGTTCGGGCATATTCACCAGCATCAAAAGCACGACTTTATCTTCTCTGCATGGATGAAAATATTCTTTCCTTTTCCCTACCTCTCGAATGATCGACAATGCCTTCTCATATGCGTGATAAGTCATATAACATGGGTTTTGATTTTCCCTTTGGCAGTACTAGCTGTAGAATTTGTCGAGTGCTTAATAATACTGCGTCGATATTCGCACGGGAATTGCTTTAATCCTTCAATCTAAACGACAAATATAAGTCAAATATTAAGTCTAAGGCATCTCACTACATATTGTTTAATTGGACACCGTATAAAGGACTTACTTCTTCAACTGAACGCGATATTTCTTCAGTTAATTCATCCGCGTTGATTTGCAGCAGCTAAATAGTTTGATGAAAATCGCCTCCGTCATTGTATCTGCGTCTCCAGCACCCAGGATTGGGTGAATTTTGCTTTCTGAATCGTATGCCGAACTTGTCGAAGCCATAACAAGAACAACAATGCCTCATTTTAAAATTTATAAGCACAATAGCATATTTCTGTAATACTACGCTATAGTAATTTCTGAATTTGATGCACCCGAAATGTCACGTGACGTACCTTTCCAACATCTGAAATTAATTAGCTCGAAAGCCTTTGAAGTTTGCCGGCCTTCCAAACCCTGTCCTCTATTAACTATGCCTCGAGCGACTGTCTGATACTATAATACTTTTCAAAAATGAGCCAGTAGACAATACTGTCAATGGAAACTCAACTTTATTATGACTGACTTGTCTGCCATACTTATACGCATAGCCTGATTTTATATTAAAAGCGTTCCATGGCCAGAAATGCAGGCCAAAATGGCTGCCAAGCATGCGCGTTTTAGCCATAATATAGAAATCCAATATGGCGTCTTAATATAAGATTAGAGTGGGAAATCATTAAAATTTGCATTTAGATAACTTACGATCGAGAAATCCTAAATGTGCATATCCAAAACATCATTAATTTTATCGAACTTTTACCACTGATAATTTGAAGACAGCTCGAGCTGCCGAACTATGTTCCCGAGAAACAATATTTTTACCTTAGTCTCCGTATAATAAAGGCCAATAAAGTGTGTGATTTTGCCATATTAGGTACTTTACAGTTCCAATTTCTGCTCGTTGTTGGCGGACATCGGCAGATGTGCATATCAGAGCTTGTTCGTATAGACTCTATCTTTATTTTGTTCACGTTTAAGAAGCTTAAAAACATACACTAGTGTGTTCCCCAACGCGATGAAATTCACCGATTTCGCAGACTGGTCTTTGTCTACTTTGATGGCAGAAAGACATCGTACTTCGCACAAAAACATCAAAATATCGTAGTAAAAGTTTGCTTTCCTGTCCGCCATTGCTTTCCTTTAGCTGTTGCTATGTTACCATGGGTTCTACCGCTTGTATTAGGAAGTTTGGGCTCATAAACAATGGTTAAATTGCGGGATTTCGCGGGAATTTTCAATTTGCAACTTGAATTTACGAATTTAGCACTTATAAAACTATTGTAAGCTTTTGAAATTTGAACATTGATCAAGACTCGGCTGTGGTAAGGTCTATTATATTTTATAACTGTGCTTGGTTATATATCTGATTGTATTTGCAATGTCGGATGTTCCGCCTTTGTGTCCTATGCATACTTATTTGCAATGGAAATTATCTGTTGAAAGCCCTTCATTTACATATGCTGCCAGATCTACATCTAAAGATATATTGTTTGCTGTGGATATTCCTTTCCCACTACTGAGAGCCTGGTACAACCTAGTGGTGTTGAAAAAGCCCTTCCAAACATCATGCACCTGTGATCCTAAGAAAATAGGCATCAACTTGCCCTCAAATTTTCCCCAGTTTACTTATATCGAGTTGTTTGAATTTGCAATTCCTGGAACTTCGTTTGGTCTTACATCTGATCAAGTTATGAGGTCAGAAATAAATCATTCCCTTCGGGTTATGGCAGCAAAGGTATATGCTGAGTATGGCAAGAGTCGAGGTAGAAAGAGACAACAACTGGATTTAAAGACCAAGAAATTCCATATAATGGATGGACAAACAATTTCAATTACAAAACTCAAACAAGATAAGGCATTTGTTTGCGACGAGTTGGCAAAATGGAAGGAAAGCAACATTAATTTAGAGGTGGAAATTAAAAAGCTTCACCATGAAATGGAGATGGCCATCCAAGAAAAGAATGAAGTAATTGAAAACCTGCAGTCAAAAAATGAAGAACTATTGAAATATATTGACCTCCTTGAAAAATCTGAAAAAATGCAGCATCAGGGAAAAGATATTTCAGAAACGAAGAAAAAATCAAGGACTCTCAAAAATGTTTTGTCTCGGGCAGAAACTGCCTTATGGTTTGCAAAATCTTTTGGACTGGAATTAGAAAGCATGACCGTCAAAGAAATCAACTCTAATGTTAGACATAATTTAGTTGTTGACAACAGTGGTACCGATAACACAGATAATGTTTCTGGATTTGACGCTCTCTCAGATGATGATAAGGGCAAGGTAGAAAAAGTTCTGTTTCTCCTGGACAAGTTCTGTGTGGGTGATGCTTTTTATCATGAGATAACTATGTTGGTAGAAGGCTTGCCTAAGTCATATTTAGTTAAGCAAAGAAGAGATCAACTGAACAAAATGTGTCACATAACCTCAACACCTGGAGAAGAACATGGAGCCCAACTTCCATTCAAGGATTTACTAAAAAACAGGGTAAAAGAATATACAATTGCTCACCCAAATGTTGTTAGAGACAATGAAACAATCAAAGTCAAAATTTCAGGAGATGGGGCTAACATGACCAGGAGTTCGAATTTTATTTTGATGAGTTTTGCCATTTTGCAATCTACTGATGATGTTTTAGCAGCAAAGGGAAATCACACTATAGCTGTTGTAAAAGGAAAAGAGGATTATGATGTTTTAAAGCACTGTTTTAGAGATGTTTTCAATGACATAAATGAAATGTTAAGAGAAAAAAAACTAAATCTGGGAGAAGATACAGTAAACTTAGAATTCTTTCTTGGCGGCGATTATAAATTTATATTACTTATGATGGGTCTTAGTGGAGCCACCTCAAATTATGCATGTGCTTGGTGCAAGATTCATAAGGACGAGAGGTGGAACATGACTTATGATTTGAACCACTACAATTCACCAAATCTTCGGCGCACGTTAAAGGAAATGAATGAACTAGCAGGGAAAAAAACAAAAAATTTCTGTTCTGTGAATATCCCCCTTATAAACATTGATTTGGATCATGTGATATTAGATGAACTGCATTTGCTGTTAAGAATTATGGATGTCTTGATTCAAAATTTGGTCACTGAAGCAGTGCAATGGGACCAGGCCGACAACTGGAACAAGAGGAAGAAGGATCAAAAAAATATTCATTTAGATAATCTAAAAAGCACAATTAGATCTTGTGGGATCTCATTTGAAATTTGGGAAAAATCTAATGCAGATGGCAAAGGATCGGGTCATTATGATTTTACAAGTCTTTTAGGGCCGGACAAGAAGAAATTATTGAAAGAACTCCCGGAAAAGCTTGAAGGTTTGGTCCGTCCGGCGGCTGAAATTGAAACGAAAAGCCTTTGGATTAAGTTTTCTATCATTTATTCTATAGTAACTTGCAAAACACCTTCCGAAGAAATGATCACAACCTACTTTTGTAAAGCACAAGAATGGATAAATCTTTTTGTTAAACTAGGAGACAAATGTGTTGGTTATACAAAAAGCAAGGTAACCCCCTACATGCATGCTATGGTTTACCATGTACCAACATTTCTGAAGACATACAAAACTGTAAAACTGTTTAGTGGTCAAGGCGTTGAGAAAAACAATGATGTCGCAAGGAGCATAGTCTTACGAAAATCAAACAATTGGGATGCTGCTGCAGACGTGTTGAAACTCGAGTCAAGGCAATGGGACTTGCGAAAGCAAGAACGTGCAAAGAGAATGTACACAAAAAAAAATACCGAGTACTGGGAGCACCAGCTTCAAGAGGAAAGAAAGAAGAAGAGAAAAACATCTATATGACATGAACAATATATCTATGTGCTAAAAATAGAAGATACTGTCACAGAGTCATACAAAGGTCTCACTTCAGGTTAATTCAGCATAAGGGATTTTTCAAGTGCCCTAAAAAGAGGCCATCACCCCCCTGAAAACATATTGGAATTTAATGTTCCAGGGGGGGGGGTGAGTGCTTCTCTTCAGGGCACTTGCTAAGAACATGACTACGGTTTTGTCGCAGAAGACTACGGTTTTGTCGCAGAAGTGATACCTTTTAATGTGATTACTCTGTGATACCGTACCCTTTTACTGTATATATATTTTTGAATATTTGAAACATTTACATTATTAATACATATTACAGCCAAGTTTTACAATATTTACCATATATACATTAGTGTCTCGACAAAGCCTTGGCTCGAAATATCTAATATGGTCTACTATTTTCTTCATTTAATAAGCATATAGTACTGATACTAGTTAACATATGATATGAGTGAATGATTATATATATTTTAACCAGTACTTATGCAGTAGAAACTTTTCAGGCACACCGGAACCAACCAGTTATGATTGAAAATATCCAAATCAACCCCTATACAGGGGTGTAAACATCTGCAGTACAGGCTAGAGAAAGGTAGCAATTTTAAAGCAAGCTGTTGTGAACCTCATGAAAATTATTTTTTATACTAATATCAAAAACTCAATGCTAAATGATTAACTGAATGAGTAGAAAGTCCCGGTGCACCTCAAAAGGTTCCCAGATACTATCCCTATACTACCTTAAAGTGGAAGTCAAGTCCGTTCTGCACATCGGTTCTGCTCATAACAATGTGAGGACCTCTGAATGTAAACATTGCCCAAATTTCGAATGTTTTGAATTATTCTGAACATAAACTCTATTTCATATTCATTTAGAAGCATAGCGAGCCAAAATGTTGTCAGATATTCAGACAGTACATCATATTTTTAAAAAATACAGCAGTTCAAAATGTAAACAAACCGTTTGTTTACATACGGACTTGACTTCCCCTTTAAACATTAACAGAAAATGGTTGTTTTTTGCAGTTGATAGAAAGTTTTTCTATTTGATACCTTTGCATTAACACAATTTTCCCACCAATAACCTTGTGGGTTTTGGGGCTCTGCGAAAGAAACAGCTTTGCTTTCACAGGGAATTCCACCTTTGTCCCATTACCCAATCTGTCCAAAAGCTGATCCCACTCTTGAGGTAGCTTGCACCTACTAAAATCATCTCTATTAAGTAAAAGATGCCTTCCATCCTCACTCTCCACACCCCTGTCTTTAAACAGATATCTAAAAACATCATGCCTAAAATTCACTACAGTTGGCAACACACTTTTAGATTTTAAATTGTCTAAAATTGCAGTGTGCAGCATATCAGTTCCAGCAGAAACCAATTCAGCAGTTGGTTGTGGGTTCCAATATGTTCTACAACAAAATGCAACAAGACGTCAGTCTCTTAAATATCCTTCACAGACAGTCTATGTGACTACATATATGTGAATGTCATGACACCAGCACAGTCAATTGCACAATAATACCACTCAATCTTACCTCAATGCAAAAGCATTCAGATTTTCTTCAGGTTCCCAGCTATTGTCCAAGGAACTATAGCCGCTCCACTTTACAAGATATTCAACCTTAAAATTTGTATAAAGGGGAACAAATTCTAGTCAATAAACGTTAATATAAACTAATAAAGCCACCAAAATTATACACCAAATTTAAGCTAGGTTACAATGTGACAAGATTAAACACTATCAAACTATATTTACTTGCTAACCTTTCGTTTCCGCGTTCTTCTAGAAATTATTCTTTCTGCTTGATAAAATTTCCCTCTTTTTTTTCTATTTTCAACAAGAAAATCAGCCGTGCTTAAATTGTTCAATTCTCGGTAGAAATGAACCGCCATGTTGTCTTTGCCAAACTGAACCACTGATCTGTATAATGCGCTGAACGGTCAAAGAACATGAGCCCACACGCCGCACCGCTTACTGTCCTGCATTTCTGGCCATGTTTTGATAAAACAGTCAAGATAGTCGCTTGTTACTTTAAATAAATACAAAATTAATGGTATTCCAGGTCGTAAAGTGCTTAATTCAATGGGATGAACGACTGAATCGCAATGTCGATATTTATAATAAATGATGGAAGATTACTCAATGGAATTAAAGTGTAGTCGAAAAATTCAAGACTCAAGTTTAACACTCAAGTTTCGTGGTAAATATTGTATGGAATTCAACAATTCAAGACCCACGATAAATACTGTTGTCCAGTTACTGGACACTTGAACAAGATAAATTTTGCTTTTTTTATTAACTGATATCGTTTGTAATAATATCCTGATTTTGAACGAATATTAATAGATAGGTAATTATAAATGTGTTTCTATTGCGCAATATTTTCATAATTTTCATAATGCATTATATATGCCCAAACTAGAGCCTACATTTGAACATTGCCGTCCATTGTAATCCATCAGGGGCAAGTTTACAAAGCCGGATTAATGCTAACCCCTTGTTAAAATTTAACCTACTATGCAGGTCTATTTATCTCAAAACTTCAGAGAAGAAAACATCTACTGATCCAAACAATATATTTGAAGAAATATTTCCAATTCATATACCAATTGTTAGGAAGCTTGAGAAGGCATTGGATGCATCGAGGGATTCAACTACATGAAAAATACAAGCAAAACGTTGACATTTCATTTCAAATGAAGGCCATCATCTACTTCCAGACGAAGTCAAGTGTCTTCACTTGAAATATCAAAGTTATACATTAATATTTTCTTCATATAGTTTAATCTCTCTCTATTCGAAGAATTATCATCACTACCAACAATGGTACAAACTTGTTATTATGATTGATTTGAATGTTACTATTTAGGTTAACCCAGGGTAAGCAAATCTTTTGAACAACCTGCCCCAGGTGGAACAACTTTGAGTTTTATTTTCATAATATTTGTTTTTCCTTTTTCTTCTGGGCTGGTCACAAGAGGCACAGGCTCTATTTGTCCGCGCCCGCCTGTCCTTCCTTATAACGAGGGAAGGAAGGAAAGATTGAGCCAAAATAGCCCAGACTTGGCATAGGTCACACGAAACTATCCTAGATTTTGTGCCTTTAATGCATTTCTTTCACGATTAATCGATATCCCTTGCAAGAATGATACCGTATAACTCTCAAAACAACAATGCTTTTTTAATCAAAGAGCTTAAATTCGCTCTAAAATCCGCGAGGGAATGACAAAATTCGGCCAAAATATATCCGCGTGCCGGGTTTGCTGGACAAAAAGCGGAAGTCGTTGAACAACTCAAAATACACACAACGCTGATTGGACAACGAAAATCAACAAACATTTCAATTTTTTCTGCACTGGGAGGGGGCCGGAGAGTAGTCACAGTACTTGGAACAGTACTGTAATAATTTGAATCAAAACAATTCACAAATGTTGTCGGGGGAAAACCAATGCAAGTTTAGTTATTTAAATTTAAGAAGTTTAGTTAGTAAATACGGATAGTTAATTAGGTGGACTCAGGGCCGTAGGAAGCTCTTTTCGATTTGGGGGGGCTGAAAGCGAGGGCCGAAGGCCCGAGGAAATTTTTAAATTTAGAGTCTCTAAAATGCCATTTCCTGGACTTTGGGGGAAGATTTAACAGAATTCTGATAGTCAGAAAACAGCGTTTTAGTATGCCGAAATTTACAGGAAAATATGGGCCAGACTGTAGTATTATAAATGCGCGGCGGGAATTTTCGTCGTAAATGGCAGTTGCGCGGAAATGAAGGCAGAACATTTGAGAAAATTTCGAAAATCTGGAGTGTCTAGATGGTCTGAAATGGCATTTTCAGAGTTTTCTTTCGCAAGACCCAACACGCAAAAGACAAAATAAATCATTAGTTCATCAAAAATGTGCAGATTTTGTGGGATTTTCTTGAAAATGCGCGACAGAAATTCAGCTAAAATTTCTACGCGAGGAACAATCTGGAGTATGAGTAATATCTTCATTCTTCATCCCCCCCCCCCCGGTTGCTACGGCTCTGGGACTTCAATGATCGATTCTTGCACTTCACTTGGTGGAATTAATATTAGAATGTTAGGGTTTGTAATTCAAGTGAGAATATATACATTTTAAGACCTAACCAGGAACGACTGCGAAAAATGCAGCACAAAGTCTTCTGGTAGGAATTGAACCTGCGGCCCTGCGATTCCGGTGCAGCGCTCTAACCAACTGAACTACAGAGGCCAGCTGTTGAGCTGTAACCGTAAGTTCATGTATATATATATATATATATATATATATATATATATATATATATAATTTGTTTTGTTGTAGTAGATAATAAAGTGCTCAACACTAATACAAAAGTAGAGCAAGATATATTTATATCTTAAAATTAATTATTGCTACTCAAGTTTCACGCCTTATTCAAGACGATCTTCAGGCAATTAATTCAGTTTGTGTATATATATATATATATATTTTTTTATATATATATATATATATAGGTAATCGGGTGTGCGGGTTTGTTATAAGGTGGACTTCAATGATGGATTCTTGCACTTCACTTGGTGGAATTAATATTAGAATGTTACGGTTTGTAATCCAAGTGAGAATATATACATTTTAAGACCTAACCAGGAACGACTGCGAAAAATACAGCGCAATCGCAAGGTCCTTCTGGTAGGAATTGAACCTACGGCCCTGCGATTTCGGTGCAGCGCTCTAACCAACTGAGCTACAGAAGCCAGCTGTTGAGCTGTAACCGTAAGTTCATGTATATATATATATATATATATATATATATATATATATATATATATATATATATATATATATATATATATATATATATATATATATATATATATATATAATCGGGTGTGCGGGTTGTTATAAGGTGGACTTCAATGATGGATTCTTGCACTTCACTTGGTGGAATTAATATTAGAATGTTAGGGTTTGTAATCCAAGTGAGAATATATACATTTTAAGACCTAACCAGGACAAGGTCCTCTGGTAGGAAACAGGATGTTTCAGCGTAAAATTATAGTCAGTTATAGTCATTTTTACTGTGGTTTTATATAAACGTTTAAAAGAACGGCATTAGTTTTCATATGAACATCTAAGCGAACAGTGACACTGCTTAGTAATTAAGAGGAATTGTCTGCAAGAACGGTCCAGCGAATTCTGACTCAATTTTCGTTTGGCTTCATAATACATCTATAACTTCCTTGATGTATCCTGATTCTTAGTCATTCAAATAGTCATTTCTTGAAAATTGTCTTTTTTTTGTTTATCCTCAAATATATTAGACACATTCAGGAATCCAAAATGGCGCTCATGATTAGGACGGATATTTTCAATTTTTCTAACTTTGCACCGAAGTCGTGCAAGGGTCTACAGAACATGAATCCGTGTTTTTATATTGAATAACGTATGTTCTTTTCACGAAAGTAATAATAAGCCAAATATCTTTTTGGAACTGGCGATTTTAGAGGCAGTAATATTTGTCAGATTGGAGTCCGTCATTCATGATCGAAAACCTAATGGATTCCACAAGGCGTAGTAAAAAGTGGATTTCTTCTGAAATTTAAATCCTATTAAAATATGTAAATGAATAACTAAGTTATTCATATCAAATGAGAAAAGTTTTGGTCAAACTCATTTCCCGCGACAAAGGAAGGAGTCTTTATGAGGCAAATCCTCCCCTATGCATGGGCTAACATTTATGCGATGGTGTCCTAGCCACTATTTCTTGTTAATGCTAGTCTTAGGTTTATTGGAGAACAATGCTAGTCCATTTAGTTAAAATTTCACTTTGTATGCCAGAATTTTGTAAACTGGAGATGGATATTTTTCCATACAAACGCGATTAAGCGGCAATACACCTCCGCTCGGTGGTCACCTGTCATCAATTAAAAGCTCTAAAATAAATAAATACACGCAACAAATCAATAATTGTTTGTGTTTAAAGAAGGCGTTTTATAACTTTTCCTTCTACTATTTATTAAATAAAAAGTATTTTAGACCAATTCCGTCACCATTATCGGAAAATAGTTTGTATTTGAAATATATTTGTAGTTTTGTCTTTTGTTTATAAAATGCATTTCGCTGATATTAATTAAAAGTTGTCGATTTCAATGTTTCTTTTAATATCCGGTTTCTGTAACTGATTCAATGAAAATAACACGGCGCTTTCGTTTTTTGGCATGCTTTTTCTTAATATTCTCTTTAACCATGTCTGGAAAATGATTTTTGTTTTAGTAAGTAGGATCCAAAACAATGTAGAGACTGTCGAGGACTGAGTGCATGAGATATTTCGGCTTTCTTCATGCAATGATAATGTGCGGAGACACTTCGAAGGCTTGCACATTTCCGGAGAAATCGTCTCTGAAGTTGAACTGATTTCGTGTTATATATCACGCAACCCACACAGGACTCGAAAATTCGTAAAAGGAAGATATGTTATTACTTATTAGCTTGCAAATGTCATGGCCAGAAATGAGGGACAGTCAGCGAAATGTATTGCGGGCGCAAAAATTCGCTAAATTCTGCAGCGTCAGCATAATACAAACAGACATTAAAGGCGTCTCAAGCAAACTTCGGAGCTACTTTTATATCAGTTAAAGACTGTGGCAACTATTTCCTCATTTACAATCTTTTAATTGATTGAACACAATAGTTTCTAAGCCCAAAACTACAAAAGTACATCAAAATATAGTGAATTTCACGGTAGTTAAATTTGACTTTGGCGCGATTTTTTTCCCTATTTTGGAGCCCCCTGTCCTTTATAAACAACAATCAGCGGTTGTACGTACAAATGTTTTCAAAATGGTTGACAAGAATCCACGACGACGCTTTTAAAACGTTCATAGTTTTGGGATTTCGCAGTGCTTTGTCCAAAACATTTGGTATTAGCTTACAGTTCTCATGAAATACACGCTATTTTAAATGCGTTTGGCGGAGCGCGTACAGTGGCGTAACGGGAGGGTGTCAGGGTGTCCAGTGACGGGGGGTCCCCGAACTTTAGGGGCCCCCGACAAAAATGACCATAAAAAATTTGATAGCACATTTCTGGGGAATTGAATTAATTGAATTGAATTGAATTAAAAAAATCCTTTTCTGATCCTTGGAGAAATTTGGTGGGGGGTACACGTAACATTCCTGAAGCTGAGACGGATTAAGTACGTCGCGGCTGAGGAAAAGGACGAAATACTAGAATGATTTATTGGCAATCTCATTGTGTATGTCCGGAAAAAATTTTGGACCCCTAAAATGGTACACTGGCCGAAATTTTTTTTGCGACTGGGGGGGGGGGGGAAGTCGCCAAAAATAAATTGTTCCGAGCCTATTTTTAGTTGAGCAAAGGGGGCCCAGAGTGGCCGATTGACGGAGGGCCCCCAGTGGTTGCGTTACGCCACTGAGCGCGTACAAGCTAAGATGAATCTAAATCAATACAAAAGGAGAGATTAACTGTCGTACAAGAAATGTAGACGTAAACAATTCGTCTTCGAGCTCTTGGAGCAACACTACACTGGCCTTAACTTGGTAAACAATGGGGATTTTACTGTACTTAATAGGAGTTTACATTGCGAGATTATACTGTAAAATTGAGTTACTCGGGCGGAATAATGGCAAATCGTGACACGTCAAGAGTTTTGGGGAATACTCGTCGAGGTATTTTGTACATTTCTAGACGTAAACACTTTGAGAATTATATTTTGTTTCAGCATTCGCATCGCATTTGTATGATTATAGTATTAATTCTTAGCATTTCCGCCATCTTGAATTCGCAAAATTGGTCAGTTGTGCGCATAGTTAGCAGTCATACTGTCCCAAATTTCTGGCCATGGTGCAAAGATGTGCAAAAACAGTATGTCTCCACATGTATTTGTACCTCTCGGAGCAAGATTATGGGCTTGTATACGGATGCGGTTATCCGGCTATAGTGAAATTGTGTTTTTCGGCTAAGTGTCAGTTATATTTTATGTTTCTCCAGATCTCCGCAAATCGATTGCATTATTATCCATAATCTTTATTGTTTTACAACTATTTACTCTAGCTGCCGAAAGAGTCACAAAACAAATGTAGATAGAGAGGGAATCGCCTGGTTAAGATGCGAAAGCCGTTCTCCAGAATGTCCAGAGGAATTGAAAAATTAAACGAAACTTACCTGTAAGGTGAAGTTTGATGGAGATTCTACGAAGTCATTGGTCTGGAGCTAAGGAGTCAGGTGAGAGCGCGCGCGATCCACGAGGTTTATTCTTCAAAGACACTAAGTGATCATATCTAATCCTGGGATGGGAAGATTATGCTAGAACTAATGCCTAACGAAGGGTGGGCACCTGACTCCTTAGCTCAAGAACAATGACTTCGTAGAATCTCCATCAAACTTCACCTTACAGGTAAGTCTCGTTTAATTTTTCAATTCTACTGAGACTTCAAAGCAAAATGATCACTAATAAACTAATAATAAAACAGTAATGATTTCAAAATAACATACGCATGCCAAATATGAACTAGCTAAGCGAGTCCAACAACTCCTTGCCATAATTTAAGTTATTCTCAACAGGTAAGTTGTAAAATTTTTGAAAAGTCTTATCTGAGTGCCATCCAGCAGACTTCATTATTGTGTCCAGTGGAATCTGCGTGTTCGAAACAGCCGACGTAGATGCAGACCTGGTGCTGTGAGTGGAAAAACGTCTGTATTAACACAAAAATACATTTATCAGAGCTCAGTTGCATACAACTGACTTTTAGCGCATGTAACGTCTGTCGACGTTGTCCTGACAGCACAGCTAACAACGTTACAACTTTAAGTGTTAATTCTTTTAGACTCAGTTTATCAGCAGGATGCATCTTTCCAAGATACTTCAGCACAATTGCAATGTCCCAAGTTGCACTATACTGTGGGAGAGAAGGTCGGTTTGCGAAAACACCTTTCATAAACCTGCGGACCAATGGATGCGTGCCAAATAGCAAACCATCATGGAGAATGACAAGTGAAGAAAGTACACTGCGTGCTGTATTAAGCGCACTATAACCAATGCCAGTATTGTATAGTTCTGCCAGATAATTCACCCCAGCTTCTATAGGTGCTGAAATTGAATCAATTTGTCTTTCGCTACAGTATAACTGCCATCGTTTAATATAGGGGTTGTATTGCTTGCGAGTGCTTTCTCTCCAAGATTGCAGGACCAGTTCGGCAGCCTGCTGTGAAAGTCCACTGTCTTTAAGGAATCCCCCGATACCTGGCATAGCAATAAGACTAACTTGGGGTAAAGGGGGTGAACAGGGCTTGGTCGGCGTGGTTGAGTCAACATGTGCCTCCCGATTGGTAACTGAATTGGCACTTGTATCAACATTCTCATGACTCTTGGCTACCAAGATCGGGTTGGCCACTTTGGAATGACTAACAATCCTGTGGCCTTGTCTGACTGCATTTTTTGCAATACTTTGGATAGGATGCTAAAGGGTGGAAAAGCATATAATGAATATGTTGACCATGATATGGTAAAGGCGTTGATGGCACATGCCTCTGGGTATGGTTTGAATGCAACAAACGGTTTCAGTTTGTAATTAAGCCTAGAAGCAAACAGATCTATATTTGGTGTAACGCGGGCTTTCTTTACTGCCTGAGCAAAACAACTAGGATCTAGGGCCCATTCACTTGAACCAAGAGCTTGTCTGGTCTCTTTGTCAGCCAGTGTGTTAGATACACCTGGTATATGTGCAGCATAGAACCAAGTGCCATTGCTTACACACCAGTCCCAGACTAATCTACCAGCCGAGTTGCAAGCTTTGGAGTGACTGGTACCTATGTGATTAATGGTAGCTACTGCAGCAGTGTTGTCAATGAACACACGGACATGCTTGTCTTTTACATAATTATGAAAGGCTTTTAGTGCCATAAGAACTGCTAGTAGTTCTAAATAGTTGATATGGTAAAGCGACTCAGCTGGGGTCCACTGGCCCCCTGTGCTCATGTCACCCAGGACACCACCCCAACCAGTGATTGAGGCATCAGTATAAATAACAATCTCATACTCGCTGTGTTGCATGCATTAAATGCACTCGGGAAAGAAACTGCCCACCAATGTAGGTCTTCAACAGAAGACAAAGATAAGGTCATAGAACTATTAAAATTCCCTTTACTCTTCTTTAGGGCTTCATTTTTATCCATGTCAATGCTGTGATAATGCAGTAGGCCGTACATGACAGCAGGAAAGCTTGCTGTCATCATGCCAACAAGTGATGCAATTTCTTGAACAGTAGACTTGGGTTTTTTAAGTATGTCAACACAAAGATTAATCAATCTGTCTGTTTTCTCTGGAGTTAAATATATTTTCATCTCTATCGAATCCAGAATAAACCCAAGATATGTTAATCGTTGAGTTGGGATCAAAACAGATTTCTCAGGATGAGTGATTAAACCTAGGGACCAGAATCAAACATATGCACAGTGACTTCGACATTTGCATCACAATCAGGAAAGTCATCACCCTGTAGGTAGGATACATCAATATACCCGGATGATTTATGTCCCTGTTGTCTTAAGTTTGCATAAACAGGTTTCAACAGTTTAGTGAACATACTGGGGCAACATGCAAGTCCATTAGGGAAACATACAAATTTGTATAGTTGCCCATCCCAAATAAACTTTAAGTATTTTTGATCAGTAGATGCTATAGGGACAGAATAGTACGCATCTTTGAAATCTACTGAAGCCATAAAGCAAAGTGGTTTCATCATACTACTAGCAGATGCTAAATTGTCCATTTTAAAATGATGATAGGCCACATGTTCATTAAATTGTTTAAGGTTTAAAATCATGCGATACGACCCATCTTTTTTAGGAGTAATAAAGATGGGTGAAATATACTCCCCAGGTTCAGTAACACTGGGTACAATGACACCTTTGGCAAGTAGGCTTTTTATTTCAGAATCAATGACCAGCCTTTCTTTGCTACTAAACAATTTTTTCTGTTGGCATTTAACCTGAAAAAGGGTTGGCGAGAGTTCTATGTGTGCCCCTGTCACCATATCTAAAATAAATTCATCCGATGTTAACAATTTTCATTGTTCAACATAAGATGACAATCTACCAGCTTGAAAATTAGAAACTTTATTTTTAAGATATTCTAAAATGTCAGGTATAAAGGAACCATAATCCTGTACCTGTACTGTAGTAAGTTTGTTTAAGATTTGTTCTTTCTCTATTGCTTTTGTCTGTACGGGGGTCGGTCCTGCCTGCCCCCTCGCCCCTCCCAAAAAAGGACCCTTAGGTTTATTTTTCCAGGGCTCTTTGCCTTTTGCAAGCGGTCTTGGGGATTCTGAAGCCATAGTGTTACCAATCTTGTTTGAGGCTTTTATGTTGTTCAGTTGAGACTGAAGCTCATCACCAAACAGGAACTCTGTAACTGGGCCCTGTGGTGAACAATGTGTGGCATACTCTTTGTTTAAGAATGGTAAGAATGGTTTAATAGCTTGTCGCCGGTGCATGGACAATTGATGAGTGGCATGACCAAGCAATGCCACAGCATCAGCATTCATAGTCAACAGCTTTCCTAAATCAGGACCAGTTGTGCCTGAGGGAGTTGTTAGCAATATTTCAGCTAACTGTGTTAAAGCTGTATCAGCTTTTACAATGGCCCTTTGGATGCTGGCCATGTGAAGGTCTTGTCTTGAAGCTGGGCGGTTTAATTTCATCCATATTTCAGGACTAACCTTTGGTATTGCGAGCTTAGCGCAGTTATCTGTACGCAAGTACTGCCCGAGTTTTTCTTTTAGTTTCTCTTCAACTAAGGGCGCCGAAAAACGTTTATTTACGATCTCAGCAAGCTTCTCGGTGACGGCACCTGAAGTATTTTCATCCTCGTCAAAGTCACTCGCAATTTGACCGAGCAAATTCGAGGGCTCGACCGTTGATGCGGTTGTTTCATCTTTTGGCGCCATAATTGCTCGGAGTTCTGATGAATCGCTGTGTGAGGAATGATCGCTTTCATCGCCTGTGTGCTGGTCGTCATCAATAGTTGGATCGTTACTCGTTTTTTGTTTCAGAGAAGATCCCAACAAAGCAAAAGAAGATGCCACGGCGGCCATGTTTTCGTTCATTGAGTTCATCATTTGCGCGAGCCCTTGCATCGTTATTTCTGGCGAGTCAGCATCGCCATCATCGCCAGTATCATCTTCCCCCAGCAAAACAGTCTCTTCTGCAACGGAAATATCGCCAGTCTGAGCAGTTTCAGAGTATTTTTCGCTATTTTCTGCCATAATAAAATTTTTGAAGAACCTTACTCCTCGAAGGAAAGTACGCTATGAACCTTGTGGATCGCGCGCGCGCTCACGTGACTCCTTAGCGACTGAGACCAATGATGAAGTAGAATTGACCCATGCGGAGGTATTGGGCAATATGGCGATATGCCCTCTTTCCTCCGCAGAGGCTTACATGAAGTTTCTAGTGAGGGAAAGTGAGCGCGCAAGGAGTGATGGGTAGAGCTAAATAAGGAAAGCCTCTGCGAGTTAATGCAATCAATATGGCGTCGTATATAATCGTTTGTAGCGAAGTTCGATCAACCATCGGGGGTGTTAAAACATGTTTTCGACTTTCATTTTCAGGCGTACTTGAGTATCCTGGGGTGAATTTAATATCAATATCTTCTTCTGTCCATTTGCATCGAAAAATATTGAGAAATTGCAAACGATTATCAATGGATACGAGCTATCTGATAATAAATATCCTCTTAATTGCAACGTTTCTTTTGAAAATGACTCTATTGAACTTCGATACTCAGATTATGAAGATTCATTTCAATTTCTTTCACATTTCCGTCGATTTCAAGTTTAAAAAATGGTCAAACAACTACTTTGGTTTAAAAACCATACTTCGTCGCATTATCTGGCAGAGCCTCCCCAACTTCATTTCAATCTTCCCATCACACCGCGCGCGCTCACTTTTATTCAGGAAACTTCATGTAAGTTATTTGTAAATGCTTAAGGAGGCCCTGCGGAGGAGAGGGGATATGCCGATAAGTCTTAAGAGACTGATAGTTAAAAGCATACACAGTTTATTAGTTTATTGAAGTAATCTGTATATTGGTCAGATGTGTTTTGAAAAACTACACGCTTTATTATTTTGCTAGTGAGAAGTTTGAATAAAATGTGCAGAATGTGGTGCTTCAGTTATCGTGCCTTTATATAATCTGAGCTGGTGTCGGGCACCAGCACATACAAGTCCTTGCTTCACCTGCCTGGAAAGCAGAAAGCTATAAAACATAGTAAGAGTAAAGTAACTTTTCGTACATGTATAGTTATATACAACTTGAACGAAAAGAAATCTTTTCGGATCCGTGATGGTGCTAGCAAAATGAGCTGATGGATTCATGATAGAGGAATACATATAATTACTATAATCAACTGCATGCCATTTTTATTACAAAGATTGAGTTTTTTATACCGGCAGTGAAAAGCTTATACGCGACTTTGGCTTACTTTTATAATTCTTGAACGTACTCTTATTGTCACTTCATGCATAAACTCATTAATAATTCATGAGGAAAACACAAAGTGAAATCATAAGCGTGGCGTGTCTTTATATGTGATAAAACACGCTTCAAATTTTAACTTGTATTTTCTCAGCTAATACAAAGTTATTTTGGAAAATTATTTCGCCAATGCCGTGTTCTAACTGAGACGTTTGTGAAGCTGTTTAATAAACTCGTAGTTCGTGTTTTATCACATATAAAACACTCCGCTACGCGTCGTGTTTTATATGTGATAAAACACTCCTACTCGTTTATTAAACAGTACATCATGTACCACGCACCATGTTTTATTTATACCTCGCATAGTACGTCAATTTCTCTGCACTTTCTGGAGAACGGCTTTCACTTCTTAACCAGGCGTTTTCCTCGGACCTTTATCTACATTTGCTTTGTGGATTTTTCGGCAACTAGAGCGAATTGCTGTATAAAACATTTATTATGAACAATGCAATCAATTTGCGGAGATCTGGATAAGCATAAATATAACTGACCGGGGCGTCTCAGAGGCGGGGGGGTGGGGGCAAAGGGGCAATCTGCTCCTGACTGTATTGGTCTAAAATACTTTTTATTTAATAAATAATAGAAGGAGAAGTTATAAAACGCCTTCTTTAATTTAAACACAAACATTATTGATTTGTTGCATTTATTTATTTTAGAACTTTTAATAATTATTTATTTTAGAACTTTTAATATTTTAGAACTTTTAATAAATGTATTGCCGCCTAATCGCGTTTGTATGGAAAAATATCCATCTCCAGTTTACAATATTCTGTCATACAGAGTGAAATTTTAACTAAATAGACTAGCATTGTTCTCCAATAAACCTAAGACGAGCATTAACAAGAAATAGTGGCTGGGACACCATCTCATAAATGTTAGCCCGCCCATGCATAGGGGAGGATTTGCCTCATAAAGACTCCCTCCTTTGTCACGGGAAATGAGTTTGACCAAAACTTTTCTCATTTGATATGAAAACTTAGTTATTCATCTACATATTTTAATAGGATTTAAATTTCAGTAGCAATCCACTTTTTTACTACGCCTTGTGGAATCCATTAGGTTTTCGATCATGAATGACGGACTCCAATGGGGCAAATATTACTGCCACTAAAATCGCCCGTTCCATATAGATATTTGGCTTATTATTACTTTCGTGAAAATAAAATACATTATTCAATAAAAAAACACTGATACATGTTCTATAGACCCTCGCACGACTTCGGTGCAAGTTAGAAAAATTGCAAATATCCGTCCTAATCATGAGCGCCATCTTGGATTCCTGAACATGTCTAATATATTTGAGGATAAACATAAAATAAGACAATTTTCAAGAAATGACTGTTTGAACAAGAATCAGGATACATCAAGGAAGTTATAGATATATTATGAAGCCAAACGAAAATTGAGTCAGAATTCGCTGGACCGTTCTTGCAGACAGTGCCTCTTAATTGTCAACAAGACGCCTGCTCAGGCGTTCACACTGGCCTTCCCGGTTGGTAAAACCGTAAAATACCATCGCAATATTCCAAGAAATAGGTACGCAGTGCGTACATGTTCCATGCCATCAAACCATGAAACCTCGTGACTCAGAATACTATACAGAAATCATGGCCATCTCCATTGTTTTCTGCGTAAGTGTTATTCGTCATGATTTGTCACTCGGCAAGTACCGTAAACAAAAGCAGTCACCCCCTGGCACTGAACAAAGACACACAGAAGTTCGGTAAGAGTAACCGCTGCCACGTCCCAACCAGTGCGCGCCGAAGAGGCAACCCCTCCCCCCTGGACGTCTGTCATTTTGAATATTATCAGGGGCTGAATGCCTCCCAAAAGCGTACCAGGCAGGACCATGGCGTCAGCATTTTGACGATGAATTACGGTCACGCCAAAATCATTGGGAAATTATAGGAAAAACCAAGAAATTGGGCTTCTGTATGACCGACCCTGCGCCCTGGTTATGATGCGCTACCGCTTATAACTCTTGGTACAACTGGCCTGAAACTTAAAATATTGATTCAATTAGTTTAGTATCAATATATTTATTGAAAAATTATTATGTCAAAATAAGAAAACTTAAGATTCTCACGCGAATAGGCAATGTTTTTTATGAGCGACTGTTCAACGTTAGTTGCAAACGACGGTAATATAAACAAGGTCAAGGTTTTATCGAAAGCGATTGACTGTTAGATTTCCTTTTATACTATTTTATAACTAAATAATGTTATTTCCTACACATTTAGCTTTATTGTAGCTTTATTGAAAGTATAAAAAAAAACATGGAAACGGTGAATTACAATAGATTGAAAATAACAATTAAACTATGATTGAAATTATCGACGTAGAAATTAGAATGCTATATTTCATTGTATTAAATTTCAATAGTATTAAGAATTTTGTTTGAGTAACAGTACTGGTGCTTAGTAATACATTTGACATCCGTAAGTACACTTTCTTATGCTGAATGGAACGGTCGTATTTTTATCCTTATTGCGCCATTAGGCATTACAAATACAAGGACAAACGTACAGCGAGTGATTTGTTATTAACAATACGTACTGCGAGCGATTTGTCAACAATACAATTTCGCTTGATTTTCAAAGGCCATAAATCGCTAGATTACTGGTGTTTAGTAATACACTTGACATCCGTAAGTACAATTTCTTACGCTGAATCGAACGGTGTCACTTTCTTCTCAAAATATAGAATTGGTCCTTAAAACATCGTGAGCATGTTTTAGCTAAATTGCGCAATCCTGAGCCCACCATGCGGCAATGGAAAGTCACACTTGCGAGAACAAAAAAAAGCCGAAAAAATTCCTTGCAATCCAGCAAGGGCAAATTATGACACTGGCTGCCGCCAGTGTAATTATCAGTCATATGTTTTTGTGTTGCTGATACTTCTATCGATTTAACTACGTTCGTATTCTTACTAGCATGTGTACAGTTATCGGTGCCTTTGACATATATAAATATATTATTACTGTAAACAAACATTTAAGAACGTTTTATTTAAGAACGTTTTAAGATTAAAAGTTACGTAGGGAAAACCAATCAATGTTTATGCCAGCTCATCTACGACATTCCCTCATTTCGGTCAACTGCTTGTTCGTTTGTTTCCTTTCTAAATGAATGTAACGCAATGCACGTCTCGAGTGTTTACGCATGTTATAAAATATGGTCAGAAAAACAAAATGCATCAAGATTTATAGCTGGACGATAACTCAGGAGAACCCTGCAACAAACACAATGCATGTGAAATACGAATTTATTATACAACATATTAACGTACTACAGTTATATTTACAGTAACACATATAATCAACTTGCAGCAGACTTTATAACGTTTGTGAATCGTTTTGATTCAAATTATTACAGTACTGTTCCAAGTACTGCCCCCCCCCCCCCCCCCCTCCCAGTGCAGAAAAATTTGAAATGTTTGTTGATTTTCGTTGTCCAATCAGGGTTGAGTGTGTTTTGAGAATTTGAGTTGTTCAACGACTTCCGCTTTTTGTCCAGCAAAAACGGCACGAGTAAACAGGTGGGAAATTTGTCTGAGCATGCGCGAGCAAATTGAAAAACACAATTGCGTGGAATACACGCAACGCGTGTTTACAAAAAGACACAATCGTGTAAATATTGCCAAATGTTTGTACAAAATAAATGACTGTTTTATGTTGAAAATGGACATGATCTAAATTAATCATACAGAATTTTTTAGCGACGTTCTATTTCAGTACCCTGCCATTGTCT